GCAACAATCTTCTCCTGGAATAGCTCGGCTTGATGACAGGGAGGGTGAGGTTTATGATCGCCGCGGAAATCGCCAGGATTCAGATGATGAACGGATGGACCCCGAAGGAGCTGGCCGCCAGGATGAACAAATGGCCGGCGCAAAAGATTGCGCCAGGTTTCTTAGCAAATGTATATTAATGACTACAACGGTGACATAATGTGTGGCGTCGTCGTCAAGTGAGAGGCCGTCGTCGTTCAACTATCAAGGATGATGCCGGGATTTCGTCCGGCTTAAGGACGCTTGCCTCATTCTCCCAAGAGGATGGCAGTCAGGCAGGCTGGCTGGCTGCGAGTCGCGTCCATTAATGAAAGCCGCAACTATCATCATGATGAGCCGCTCTCGGCACCTTTTTGTCTTGACTCGTTACGCCGGCCTCGTTCCGATGAATGGTCGCTGGGGGAGGTTTCACTCAGGTCCGGAATCGCAGAGCCCGGAGAATCTTCGAGACAGATTTTTCAGAGAAGTTCACGGAGTCTCTCTGATTCCTGGAAGTCTCACGAAACGCCTCCCAAAAGTCTTCCGAACTCCGAGCGTTTATGGAAGGAAAGACGCCAGTGATCGAACGTGGGTGGGCCCCGTTGCGTAGAAAACGTCCAACGAGCCTAACAACTCCAATCGAATCAGGCTCGATGTAGGTACACGGATGGGTTAGCGGAGGGTCGGAAGCGAGCGGACAAACACAGCGGTCGGTCAGGCGCCTTCCCATCCTCTACCTAATCCGATGTCACTGTCGAGTGCTTTGAAGGATACACACACACAGGGGTCGAACGACTGGCCGACCGACCGACACCCAGATTATCCGATTAGCTCTCGTTCCAATCGAACTGCTCTGGGTAAACAGATCGCTTCGATCAGAATGTATCAACTGCTGCAGGGCAGCCGATCCGACTGTCAGAGCCGTTTTGCGTCTTCGAACCTGAGTTCCACCGGCCGACCGGCTGACTTACAGACACGAGTCAAAGGACGACAAATCACCGAACAAAAACGCGACTAAGGCCGCGCACCAGCGTCCGGAAGCGGCGAACTGTTGAAGCGTTTTCGGTCCCTACCATACGGCAGGAATTAGTTCGAATTGGTACGTTCGCTTGACGTGTTAGACCTTCGATGAGCTGGGTTCAATTTTTCATCAATTTGGGGCCATTCGATTTCGGTTTATCGAAGTCTTCAGGTTTTCGAGGCTTCAATCGGGTCGGGTATCTGGGCTTGAGGATTTCGCGCACCGGTAGCGGACGAGAAACCTCCCCGTTGGCGTGATCAAGCTTCAACATAAGGAGTCACCATATCCGAGATCCCTGAATTTCAGGAGCAACACAGTGGCGGAGTTTTAATGCTTTCCAATAGCAATTTGAAACGACTGTCTCGAGTTGACATCTGTAACTTTGACCATCTGTCCGACGCTCAGCGATCGCGCATGCGTCTAAAGATATCCACATGCCCTGAGCTCTCAGCCAGAGATCCACGTGGTCATGCCGTAGGTCAGTGGCGGAAAACTCGATCTGAGAGATATCTCCTCCTCGGAAGCAAAAAGCAGACCAGGAGGAGAATCGAGTTTCTGCGCAATCGGAACAGGGCTATTGAGAACGAAGTCTGCCTTAACTCTGACAGAGGCAACGCCATCGGGTCCCTCCGTGGACCGCGCCAGCATGAGGAAACGAAAGTATCGATGCTCGATCTATAATCTTTGGATTTGCGGGCGGATGATCTCTTGGGAATCCTCTGTGCGGGTGCAAGCTACGAGAAAGTGCTGAAACAGACGATGTTTTCCTAGCCGACCCGAAGATTATTACCCCCGAGTTTCTTCCACCAAATAGAAGAACCGACCCAACCCCTTACACTACAAATACAGCTGTCGAGAACATGTTCTGAGTTTGGGAGATTTACAAGCTGTATCTATCCCGCGTTTCCGACAGAGGGCTCGAACTCGCGGGAATCCACCGGGGATGGCCCGCTGTAGTATCCCGTTCAGAACAGTGGCAGCTAGCCGGTCGGCAAGCGGTCTCGTTGGGCGTCCTGCTATCGAGGAGAGACCGTGGGATATCGCACTTGCCAAAACATCTTTGCGCCTTGCTGACAAAAAACATTTCATCAGGGTTCGCTTGCGATCCCGTGATCTCCTTTAGAGACGTCCGACCCGGGAGAAATACTTTCTCGATAGAGTCGTTCGAAAGATCGAAAATAACATGCAGACAGGATGAGCCTTTCCCGGGAGAGAGTCTCGAATTATTTGGAGCCTTGTTGCCTCAAAGGATCGAGAGATATTCGATTACGAGAAGGGCAAAAGCCGGACGAGCTGTAGGACTTGGGTGATCCATGTCGTGAATAGTCGCGTACCGCAATGGAGGGCACAGAAATGTTCTGCGTGACTCGGGCGTGTGTGAATCGAATTTTTGACTCCATGATAAGGGAGCTCCTCGGAGAACTACGTTCGCACGATGTCCACCATCCCATGAGAAGGGCAACAGACAACAATTCGAAAAATGACCACCTTATACGACGCCGGCAAAGCTGGTCAAGCCAAGTGTTTCAATCGCCAGCTGTTCCGGCAGCTCGAGAGCTTATTCGACAGTCTCCCTTGCGGAGTCGTTGGCGTCACGGCGGTGAGAGACAGTATATTCATTTATAGTGTTCCATCTGTGCCTGCGCTAGCTCGCGGCAGATTCTTCAGGAGGGAAATGTTGCTCTTCCGAACATGATCTGGGTAAGCCCGACCCAGAGCAAATCATGGCGAATGTTTCCAAAGGTAATGAGCCTGCTGGCGAGATCGAGAGCTGCAGTGAGGACTGGGATTTCGGGTACGATGTCTCTGTGACTTTCTCGCTCGTGGAGATCGGATTCCGTGACGTAATAACGCTCGTTCTCGACTCATTCCACTTAGATGTTCCGAAAGGGCTTCGCTCCTCCAGGTGGCTACTTCCGCTCCGGAGAGAGGTTCAGCATTTGAAGTTCGACTAATCGTCGACAAGGGTTGAAGTCCACCTCTCGGAGCACCGGAGCAAGCGCTTCATGGACATCACCTGTTCTTCATTGGCGTCACCCGCTGCGCTGAAGGCTGCATACGCTCGTCACGGACAGCTCGGAACGACGCGGGAGATGAATGTCGAATCGGCAACGTCACAACTCGTTTCTTTCGTGCTCAACTCGAGGTCAGAGCCTCCGTCGGAACTGCCTCCATGGAGAACATTTGTACCGCCTCGGACACCTTGTCGTTCTTCTCGTCACTGCTCTCATTCACCGGCTCTCGAGAAATCCGACACCTTAACCCACCGACCTCGAACGCGCAGAATCTCCTCAAGCTTTCCCTTTTGCTTTGGCACTTCTCGGGTTTCATTGAAAATCACTGAAATTACGTAGCTGACTTACGCTTCCGCGAATGTCGCAACGTAGGTGAGAGGATGGTAAAAAGTCTCGCCGGTCGGCAAAGCTTGACAGCATCCGCGCCATTTCCTGTGACTCTTATCAGAGATTGACAAGCCTTTCATGCTTCTCGTTGAGTCAGTTTTGCTTATTTCCGTTCGAAGGGAATCCCATGGAGGAATCGTGTTCCGACCATTGTAGCGGAGTAAAACGTCGTCCTGCATTACGAGCGGGCATGCTGGGGGAAAACGGCAAGCCGGACGCTATCTGTTCACGGTGTGTCCCATCCAATGCTCCTTCTCTGTGTTTGGATGGAGCAGTGTGATGGGGGAAAAGAGGGGGAGAGAAGCTCCACGCGGGGCCAATAGAGGGAAGCGCGGGGGCTGGTCTGGTTGATTTTGTGGGTCGGAGCAGTGCTGTCAACTGGCTCGCTCGCGAGCCGGCGGACGGGCGGGCGAGCGCACTGAGAAACCGACTGTACGGAAGGAAGGAAGTAAGGGAGAGAGAAGCAGGCAGGCAAGGAGAGACCAAAGGAAAAGGAGGAAGGGACGGGGAGGCTTCTTAAGTTTCTTTCAATCATATTTCCACCATCGTTCTTTCTTGCTGCTTCGCTCTCCTCCACTCTCACGCTCGTCCTGTATGTAGGAAGCTCACTCAGTCGTTCGAGCGAGCGGAGGAGAGAACGAAGCGGTGGCGGGCGGTCGTTCTTTCGTTCTGTGCTGTGGCGGACTCAGTTCGTTTTTCTTCTTTTTTTCCTTTTTTCTCTTCTTTGTGCCGCGAGCGAGCGCCCGTAGCTAGTCGGCCTCACCCACGGCCCTCGTAGGTCTGCGAGGACTAGCCGACCAGGAATCGTTCCGATGGCATTTTTTCGGAATTTCCCCCGGTAGGACATCCTGCGAGTGACTCGGCGGCATGACTTGGGGCATCGGTTCCTGAAAGTTCGAAGACACTGAGATTCGCATCCTTTCGGAAACTGAGCCCGGAGTATATGTATCGGAGCTCGAGCTGGCTATTTCGTCGGCAGCTGGATCATTGAAATTCGACCTGATGTATGAGCAGAGAGGGCTCCGGCTTTCCAAGACGGTGACGGCTTCACGGAGACGATGGCGGCAACGCGGTGGTTCTCCGCTCGCATAACCCGTAGCCCTGTTCGATCTAAGCCGTTGAACCTCTTTCCCACCGTGAGACCTCCGAATACTCACCGCACTAACAATCAACATTGAACGGGTTCTAGCATGACCGGCTCGTAGCCACTATTTGCAGTCTCAATGGAAGCGCTCATCGTAGCGACAAGATCGCGATCCCTATTGATCACCCGAATCTCTTCCCGCATCCTGAGATCATCATAGGGGTTGAGGAGTGTGTTCCGAAGAGATCGAACGGCTTTGAGGGAGCCTCAGACCTCCGCGACACTCGGAAAATACTTCTGTGTTGGATCCGATCAGCTGTTCCCCGATCGCCGAGACTCCTTGGGCTCTTGGAACTCTGGTCATCGACACCGATTCCTTCGGTAGTTTCAGCTCCGAATAGATTGCGTGTCGTCTAATAATTACGCGGAAATTCTTGGTCATAATCATAAGTCATAAGCATCTTTTCCTTTCCAGGCGTTTCGGCACGAAATGCGCGGGATGCGGTCAAGGGATATCGCCAACCGATCTCGTGCGTCGAGCGAGATCGAAAGTCTTCCATTTGAAGTGTTTCACTTGCCTCGTCTGCCGCAAGCAATTGTCCACGGGCGAGGAGCTCTACGTTCTCGACGAGAACCGCTTCATTTGCAAGGAGGACTACTTGAATCAACGACAGCAGGGTGAGTGACTTTCTCATTAGACACATCCTGTCCATCAGATGCTTCAAGTCCGTCGCCGTTTTTTGTCTGCCTGAGAATATGTCCCACAAGAGCAGACCGTGGACGTGCAGGTGTCCGCTGTTCGTCTGCCGTTCCACGGGTCTACGCGATCAGCCCCGACGTCCTCCTAGCGGATAGGCAGGCGAAGGCTCGGGGACGCACCGACCGACGGACAGATAGACGGACAGACAGAGAAAGAAAGAAAACCGGAGGTTGCCTTTCGAACGATGGATGAGCATCCTCAATTCCTCTTCTTCTTTTTGACTCGGTGGTTGTAGAAAGAAAAGAAAAACTGAAAGGTGTCGTTCCTGTTCTGTCGCCGCTGCCGTTGTTGTTTCTGCTGCTGCTTCTTCTGCTGTTGTGAAGATCCGAAGTTGAAGATGACTGAAGACTTTCTCTACGCAGTGTCAGATACTTCATCCGAGAGTCCAACAATCCATCTATCGATCGATCCACGCATCGATTCTTCTAGTCGTTCGTCGCTTCTCTCAGTCAGATGCGCAGTCACAATCCGGAGTGTCCAACTGACGAGCTGCCGATTTGTGATTCACATCCTTTTTTCGAATCTTAAAACGTCGAAAACGCTCACAAGCCCAGCCTCGACTCGGATAGCGAAGACCGAAAGGAGGCGAGACATCTGAGGTGCACGACTGTGAGGCTGTACCTGTAGCATTCGATGGAAATAATTCGGAAATGATCCATCGATTCTCGTTGTTTCTGTGGGGATTCGTACGCCATGCAGATCCTCGAAATGCACTCGAGGTCATGCCAAGAACTCATCATCGCCGGGGGTAATTGCAAAGAAGCTATGATTGTGGCTCTGGCCGGAGCTGTACTAAGGACCCATCCAGGATCGGAGAACACCGTGGCGACAGTCGACGAGATCGCTCTCGTCGAAAACTATTCTGCGTAATAATCCCGACAATTCGAACGGGGCTCTAACAAGATGAGTAGAAAATGTCTCGATCGACTCATGAATAATCCACGCCGGACCGGTGTCCCCGTTTTCGATTGGATTACTTTTGCTTCCGACTGTCGCAGAGTCTGACTCGCGGGATGGAAACTGTATCGAGTAGCCAATAGAGCCATTCGCGTCTCATGTTTTCTGATCGCTTAGTTACCTACCTAGGTATTTCCCAGGCATCAGTTCATGTATTGCATCGGGAAGAATATCTCGTAGGTGCTACCGAGTCCGCTTGATTCTCGATCTGGATCGAACAACAACGGAGACAGCAATAGCAGCGGGTTATTGACATGTCATAAAATTCAAAAGAGGAAAAGCGAGGAGCCGGAGGAAGGGGCGATTCGACAATGATCGCGGGGACAATGATCGCTCAATAAGAAGCCAATAAAAGGGGGGAAAAGATCCGAGCCCGAGTCAATCTGATATACACACACGTCGCCCTATATCGTGCCGTGAACAAATATCGAAGAGCGTCGTCAGCCACGCGCTCATCGGTCGCTCCGCTTTGTGTGAAAAGTACCCTCGTCATCTCCGCTGATGCCTCGCTGTTGATAAGTCTTTGGTTGCACCACCGTGTTTCCACGCACTAAAAATACACACCATGAGCCCGAACGAATGGAGTGTCCAATTGAAGTGCACGCGCTCATTGAGCGCTTCAGAGTTGTTTGCCCCAGAATCGTCTACGCTTCAGATGCGATTTCGAACATTTCGAAAGAGCGGGATTTGACAGTGCCGGTTTTTCTTCTCGACTGGCGCTCCTCGTCGGATGTCCCCTCTGTTCCTCCCACACAGAGACACGCTTTAGGCGAGTCGAGAGGCAAGTTCGCGGACAAAAAGGCAGAAGAACAGAAAAACGAGCAGAGACGGGCAAACGACAACGATGACAGGCGAAAACAGTGAGGCAGTCAGCTCTATCGGTCGTGAGGTCAGCGGGAGGGCTGCTCGCCGACGTCCGAGATTCTAGACGCGCCGGGACGGGTGATTCCATGCCCGCTTCACCGAGAGACACTGGAACGGGAAGCGGAGCCTGTTCCCAAAAAAATCCGTGAGACTCCAAGCGAGGGTTTTCCCGAGCGACTTCCACCATCTCTTCCGATCGGGGGAACGTCTGAATCCGGGAAAAATTGCAGTCGACCCCCTGTCCCTCTGTAGGTCTCCATTTTGTTGGCCAGAGATTAGCGATCGGCGAGAATTTCGGTCGTCCCGGGTTTTCATCCCGAGCCGGCGGAGCTCCCTCGAGATAGCGACGTCCAAGCAAGCGCACGAGTGCCGACCGACTGACTGACTGAGTCAGACGCTTGGCTGGTCGCTACCTCAACCCGATGCTCAGTCTGCCGAAGCCCGTAGGTCGGTCCGTCCTCCGGTTGGTTGCTTGGTCGGTTGGTCGGTTGGCAGTCAGTCAGTCAGTCGGACCGTGAGGCAAGAGATTTCGATCACCTGTCGCCCGTGACGAGATAGCGGCTAAGCAAGCTGATGAGACTGACGATCTGATCCTTGTGACAGGTCTCGATGCCCACACCTCATTCCTCGTCTCCCATTCCTCCGATCCACTCCCCCACTTTTTCCCCTCACCCCAGTCGATCTTCAAAATTTTGACGCTGGGAGTCGACAAGGGGGATATGTCTGGGTTTTTGTATTCCCCTTGGGTCAAAGCCGATTCGTGGACGAAAGAAAACGGATGGAGTTGTTTTGGAGAATCTCCCCGAAATCCAAGACGGATCCCCAAGTTACCGTGACGCAGATACCGAACGACCTTGTGGCGCTTGTTATCACAGAAGAGTCGAAACCTTCGCTGGAGCAAGACGCTCGAGTGCGGTCTTCCATCGGACTGCACGCACGCCTCGAGTTCGAACGGACTCGGTGAACGATGGACAAAGGCTGGGACGGGCTCTGCGCGCTGAATATCGGAGACCGAAGAATTTCGTAGTGGGCGCAAGATGATGATGAGAATCGTCGCTGAAGATTCCTCCTGCTCCGCTTAATTCATGGGGAAGCGATTTATCATCTCCCGGGATTCTTGCGGTTCTCCGCTTGCTTCTCCTGGATCTCTCATCTCCGTTTAGGTCGCGTTCTCCCCTCTTCCCGACGTTGTCCGCCTGAGGGAGTTCCCCCGACGAGAGAAAAAAATTCTCTGTTTTCCGATGCCTCGTGTCCGTGGTTCGAAGAGAGATTAAAATTCTGCGCCCGAGCGACTCGCTTGTGCTTTTTGTTTCGGTCGTTCCATTCCTCGGCTCGACAGAATACGTCATGAAAACGCACCTTAAAGCCGCTGACTGAAAAACTCTTGATTTGGGTAGGGTGCGAGTCATCATCAGCGTCAAAACGAAGACTCCAAGCTGCGGCCGGTCGTGACGTGCGATTTTCTACGAAACAAACACCATCAATCACAAAGCATCGATCACGAATGATCATCTTGATCATCTTCATTGGGGATGAACTCTCTGAAGATTGATGTTCAATGAACTCTTTCTGGCTGCACCTCGCGACACCTATACAACAGGAACATCGCCCGGCTCGGTCATCTTGCCGCCGACGACGATTGTGGTCATTCGGCAGCCGACCGTGGCGATCTCTCTTTTCCATTCGCAAATGAGACATCGCCTGCGATGGCTGACATTCCACGGGCAGCAGCGTCACACTCGCGTGAGACCCTCCATCAGACTCGAGCTTCGACATTTAGCACCTGATATGATCTTATCTCATTTCGGTAGCTGCCGCTGATCTTGACAGGCGAGAAGAGAGGACTGCTCGGGGGTCGTAGAAAAGGGCAGGAGGAAATCTCCACCCGTTTAGACTGCCGCTCGGCGGGACACTTCGATTTTTTCGGTAACCTCGGCTCTCCATTTCCGACGAGTTCACAGAGGGGAAAGCCAAGATCCGCTCCGCGAATCTCTCTTGACCGGGAGATCTGGGAGAATGCGTCTTCGACGTTCCTCAGTTCGTTTACTCCCCGCTTGGAGAAGGAATATAATATCCCGATGCAGTGGTTGTGATGTTGGCTGTGACCTTCCTGCGCGAACGTGTCCTCGACATTTGCTGTGAGTTGTTTTTTAGCTTCACAAGTTTGTGAATGACCTCTGACATCACTGACATTCTAATCATTCCGTTCATCCGCCCACTTCACGAAGCCAGGGGTTCCGTCTGATATTCGCGCATCAACATCGGCTACGTATTTTAATTGCTAGGTTGACTAGCGATTCGGCTGACATCGCAGATGCTTCTGGCTCATGTAAACCTTTAACCCCCCCTACCTACCTACCCCCGTCGTACCCGTCATATGTGCCCGGTGAGGCTCCGCGTCGATGGCTTTCGCTTACAAGGCGCTTTATCGAAGCTGTACTCAAACTTCATTTGACCGATGATCTCGAATCGATCTGGGATCAAGGTTCATGCGTGCAGGGGCCAATGGGCGTGCACAAGCATGTTCAATCTCGTGAATACGACATAAACTTCAAGACCACGATCGGGCTCACTTCTCACTCGATATCACGAAGGAACCGAGGGCCGTAAGTCGACAGGGGTGGCTCGACTCTGAAATTCTGCGTCTGTTCCGAAAATGTAACGGAGGACTTTTCCACCCACAAGCGGGATTTCCTTGTCAAAGAGTCATCCCGCTCGGAAGCCGTGTCGAATTACGAGCGACTGAAAGCACCGGGTATTTTTTTTATTCCTGTGGAACGACCACAAGGGCAACGATTCGGGAGCAGGGATTCCAACTCGTGGAGTTATCGAGGCAAAACAGCGAAGAGTACGATCACGGGGAGAGGAAATGCGAGAAAGAGGGGACGTTGGGGAGCAAAAGCTTGCGAGGGCAAGGGGAAGAAGAGAAAAATACCCGCAGTCGGAGTAAGAGTCTGGGCGGCGAGAATCGCAAGCTTGTGAACGATCAGATAGATATCCGATCAGGAGTCGACAGATCCGGGAAAGCAAACGCCGACCGGGAAGGATCGGGAGGAACACGGGGAACGATAGGGACCAACGGTATGGTGGGGGAGGT